CATAAAAAAAAAAAGGAATTCTACCACTGGGACAATACATCTCCTGTGGTTTTGAGAGGCTACTGTTCTTCATGGCATTTCCATAAATTAATTCCGTGGTCACTGGTTTAATTTTTTTGTTCTTTATGTTGTTGTGAAACTAATTCCTGCAGTAAAGACCAACAGTTTTGACAAACTGATTTATTTTCTTTTGTAAAGTGTTCCCAAACTTAAGAAGCTTAATGAACATCAAATATCTGCTCCTTTTATCTCCATACTCATTCCCACTTGAGCTTAAGCCCTTCTAACAGGCTTTTCCCTCTGAGTGATTGCCTTTTTCTGTAAACCTTTAGCACCTTTGTCTTCTACTCTTCCCCATGAAAAGCAGAAAATAAGTGCCAAGTTGTATTAAGTTCTAGGTCAGAAAATACTTTGGTATCTAATATTTGTTTGCTTTACAACTAATGAGAAACAGATATTATGCAGATTCACCAAAATCTGTAATTAAGTTATTCCTGGTATTTCTTAAATTTAATGAGCTGAAAAATTCATTGCCTGTCCCATTGTTTATTACTTTCTTAATAGATCTCATCTATCTGTTACTTCCTGTAACACATTTCTTACATGCCATTTCCTAAGTTTCTTGCACACCATTTCTGCAGAAGTAGGTTGACACTGACCTCCAAGTTGCCTAACATCTATTCATCTGGAAACATCATGACAATACAGTAAACATCTCCTAACCTCTCACCTAGATCCCCAGTCTTGTTCTTCTGCATTCCATTGCAAGACTTCTGATAACAATTTGTGTTGATTGCTGAGAAATGCAAGATATTTTGGACAAGAATCTCATTTTATTATCTTCAAGGTGGTAAGCTGCCTGAGCTGCCTTGCCCTGTAATATTTTTTTATGTGCTGCCAAAGTCTCTATAGGTAAGATTGTCCTTAATGTTTTGCCAAACAATTAACTGAAGGTTGCTTTTATAATAAGGGATAGACTGGTCACAAATATTTTGATCTGGGTCACCTGTGGCTGCAAAAAAATATGTGTGACAATAAACCTGCCATTAAGATGGCCATCATATAATCCAACCTAATCAGTTAATTACAGACATTTAATCTGAGGCACTTATTAAACCATTTTGGGGAAATGGACAAAGAGGGAAGGACTTAAAATACATTTAAATGCTTTTTTTGAGCACTAAATATGAAGCATGTCCACATGGCAGAATACAATACTGTGCAGAGATAATGGGAAACTAGCTGAAAACAATGCTTTGTATTTTTCAAGGAGCTAACTGAGGATTTGGTGTGGAGAAAAGACATCAGAGAGAAAAACAGGGATTCATAATCTGGAGGACTTCTTGAGAATTGAAATGAACTTTCAAAAAGCATCAAGTTCTACACTTTTATGTAATATTTCTGCAATATCTGAAAAGCAGCAGTTTTATCTTTCACACACAGTTCACTAACATAGAAATGGTAGTTGTTAGAATTTTATGTACTTATCAGATGTTTAGCAGATAGTATCAGCTATGCCTTATTAAACAGACATTCACAGTACCTGTTGCTTCACTGTAATCTAACAGTCTCAGTACCATCATACTAATGTGCAGGTATTTTTCCTAGAAGAAAGTGGTCTATTCAACTAGAACAAAACTTCAAACTACTAAAAATAAAGATAATTTTTTTAAAAAGTACAATAATAACTTTTGTGGTTTTCTATTCCAGAATAAAATACAGAAAAAGTACTTTCAAAGCAGGTATTTGTTAGACATTCTAGCAAGAGTGTTTTGTACATATCTGTGATTTCATCACCTGGTTTCAGCATACTAAAAGTAAGGAGTGCCAGAGCGTCCTTGAATTGAACTCCTGAATCAATGAGTGTTTTGTCATGCTGGGAATGGAAACTTCCAAGGAACTGGCTAAAATGCTGCTACTTTTACTACATGTTACTCTTTTCTGAGCCCGCTCTTGAATATTTCACTGAGCCTGGTGTAACCAGAATTTCCAGTTTAGCTGGGACAGCCCTAAAATATTCCAGTATCCAGCAGATATGGTTTTGCTATTTTTCCACACCACATAAAGGAAACACAATATTCTTGTTCTCACCTTAAGTCTTGCATAGGAATACAGGCTTTTGCAGCACAGTAGTAAGAGACAGGGACTCTGGCACAGACTTGTGATGTGATACAAATCTTGTGTATTACTGCAAAACAAGATGAACAGAGTATGTTCTACTCTGCATTAAATGTTGGTTAGTATGATGAGTCCTCAAAGCTTATGTTCAGTTAGGTAACCTGACATGGGCCCTACACAGGTGACATAACACGTGCTCTCTTTTCTTTATTCTGGTTTTTGTGGCTCTAGAAAAAAGAAAAATATTTTTCACTGACAATAACTACAGCTAAAGTAGCATAAGTAGGGAACAGAAGTTCTTCCCTAGCTGCTGGAAATAACACCTGAGTTTTCTCACTGGAGATAGGAACTCTCAAATAGTTCCTCTTTTGACTGACAATGCTAGAAGATATGTTCATCACTAAAATTTGATTATGTTTTTGGAAGAAACTTGTCTACTAACTCTACTAAATTTTATTAGTTAACTACTATAAATGTCAGTAGAAGCAATTAAATTCTACTTAAGATCTGCCCCCCCTCCAACATGAACTAGTATACTTAATAACAAAAGAAAAATGAGGACAGAGTAAGAAGGATGGCTAATATTTTATCTGGGTCATGGCAGCCCATCATGACTACTGATGAAAATTAATGTTACAACTGCTTGCAAGAATGAGATAGAAGTCGTCAGCAAGACTTCTGTGAAATTACTTAACCACATAATTCTTAAACAAATACTTCCTTGACTTAGTAATGCTCAAGGTCTCAGTTACTGAGATCGTAAACCTTTTGACCAAACCTACAGACGCTCAAAAAGAAGTCACTGCGTGCCATCGTGTGGATATCACAACAACAGCAACATCAGTTCTGAAAAGACGGCTTCGTTAAAAAAAAAAAAAAAAAAAAGGCGTGGAGACGAGCACAAATGTGTATGCCCTTGAATACAATTATCGTGAGGAAACTCATTCAGAAAATAGAGGGGTTTTGTTTCAATTTCTTGCTTTTCAGTTAAAATAAACTAGCAGTGCTAATGGCTGTGAGGCCACACTGTCAACAGTTAATGGTCTGTCATTAGTTAAGCAACTAGGCAAGGACTTATTTAAGACTTTATATCCAAGACACTTCTGCAAAACCTTTAAACATCTTTTGTAACATTGTTCTCTACACACTCAGAGACTGCAGAACAGAATTGACTTGCTAGCAGCATACTTAGGATACCTTCCAATTTTTTTCTTACATATGTACCACCACCATTCTGTTGCAAGTTCCAGCTACACATATGGTCATTCCCTAAGACAGTCAAAGCTTCTCAAGCAGAAGTAATGAATTTAAATGTTACCATGAAAAGGATGGCAGGGAATCATGAGAAATGAAAGAAGGAAAGAAGAGGATAAGTTTGAAGCAAAATCACTTAGAAATTTTTTGCTTTCTTATATAAAAAGTTTGCGTCCACAGCTTCCATGAATAGTCAGTGCCTTATAATATGATTTCTACAAATAAATAATATTATTCAATTTCTCCAAAGAATCACCATTTTTAAAAGTTATTTACTTGGAATACAATTAAATACAAGCACAAGCCATAGATGTTCACATTGCTTTTCCTCATTAAGAAAAATAGCAAACCAAATTAGAGGTAAGTCCTGAAATATTTTTATGGCTCATATCAAACTGTTGAAATTAGAAACTGTTCTAGAAGGGAGGAAAAAAAAAGGAAGTGCCAATTCACTTCAGGGATTTTCTGGATGGTGTTTCTGGATAACAGTTCTGTGTTTAAACACTTACGCTTATGTGCAGCACAGCAGTGCTGAATGAGACCCCAGAACTCAAATGGCCTATAGTATCACTGATACAAAGGGACTGTCTGCTGGTGGGCTGGCTGTTCTGTAATTTACCAAGATTATGGACATCTTTCACAGAATACTATTTTGAACTCGTGCCATCTTAAATTTATTTAAGCTGGATCAGGCAAGCTAATAGAAAAAAGAGTGCTAATCATCTAAATACATTAATAAGCTTTATCAACATGAAGATAAGCTGGAGACAGGAAGTGAAGGAAGATAAATGCTCCTGTAACCCTTCGTTTTCCTTTGAGTGAACACAGAATGAGCACTGCTGTCTTGGTGCTTTTTTCAAAGGAGACCCCGGCACTTGCAGTGGTAAAGGCAGAAGGAAAGACGTGAGCACGTTGGTGAAAGCAGAAGTTGAGTAAAAATGGTTTGGGTTTTTGGTTTGGTTTTAGTTTAGTTTGCTGTTGAGGTTTAGTTGTTTGGATTATTGTTTTTGTTTCAAGCAAGGAACTGCAGTTCGCTGGAGCATGTCACAAAAACACCTGTTCTCGTGGCTTTCCTGAATGTCTGCAGTGCACTGAAACATTTGGCCTTTTCTGACCTAGGGCTACCAAGGGAGCAACAATTCCTATCACCATGCGTGGGCGCGGGGTGCGAGGCGCAGCCTTTCAGGTAAGAGCGTCAGGATGCGGCAGCTAGAGTACAGCAGTCGCAGCTATCACTGCAGTTTCCATCAAAGAAACTACAGGACGGGCCAGACCCCGCTGCCCTCGGAGAGCCGAGAGCGACGAGAGCCGCGGGCACGAGCAAAGGGCACGGCGGCAGCCCTGACGAGCGACAGCACCCGGCTGCGCACGGCACCGCCCGCCCCGCCGCGGCCGGGATGGCCGCGCATTCCGCCCCGCCGCGCTGAGGCCGGGATCGCCATCTAGCTCCGCCCCGCCGCGGCCGGGATGGCCGCGCATTCCGCCCCGCCGCGGCACGAATGGTCGTGCAGCTCCGCCCCGCTGCCGCCGGGATGGCCGCGCATTCCGCCCGCCCCGCTGAGGCCGGGATCGTCATCTAGCTCCGCCCCGCTGCGGCCGGGATGGCCGCGCAGCTCCGCCCCGCCTTGGCCCGGATCGCCATCCAGCCCCGCCCCGCCTTGGCCCGAATCGCCATCCAGCCCCGCCCCGCTGCAGCCGGGATGGCCGTCCCCCGGCGAGGGAGGGCACACTGGGCACGCGGCGCGGGCACGTCCACTCCGGAGGGTGGGCAGGAAGCCCGGGGCGCGCAGGCTGAGCGGTCCCTCCCCTGTCGTTGGTAGCGCCCTGTGTGGGAGGCGGTGAGCGGCGCGGCGGGCCCGGGGCGCCGGCGGCTGAGCGCGGGGCCATGAGGCACCTGCCGTACTTCTGCCGCGGGGAGGTGGTGAAGGGCTACGGCAGGGGCTCCAAGGAGCTGGGCATCCCCACCGGTGAGCGGGCGCGGAGGGCGCAGTTCTCGGAAGGACACGGGCGGGGCTGGGCCCGGCCGTGGGGCTGGGGCCGCGCCGAGTCCCGGGAGCGGTGCCGCGGGCGAGCTGCCGGCCGGGTCCTGCCGCCGGGCGGAGCCGGCCCTGCTCCTGCCGGGCGGCGGCGCGGCAGCGCCGGACTAAGCTCGCCTGACCTCGGCGGCCGCCCCGCTGCCCCGCACGGCTGCTTTTGTCATGCCTTGCGGCTTCCGAGAACGGCCTTGCCTTGTTTCCTACTAGCGTTTTCCTTTTTTCCCAGTCTCGTGCACTGCTTAGAGTCTTGCACCTTCCCGTGTGTTACGCCCTACACCCCAGTCTGTGAAGAGGTTTCTCTGAATCTTGATGTTTGTTCCTGTTCTCATCTAGTGATCGTCACGATGTACAGGATGTAGATAAGTGTCCCATTCTCCATGCAGTGTGTGGCAGCCTGGGAAAATAACTCTTCGCACAAGTCTCCAGTAGGAATAGGAAAGGGAGGAGGCATTGGGAATCGCTGCAAGGAGGAAAGTTTAAGGGGAGTAAAGCAGAGTTTGAAGCAGAGCAGGTGGGCTTGGCCTACTGAGAATGTATTTTCCTATTTCCAGTCTCTGTTTCAGTTGTCTAAATTCAGGCAGATGAAGGCTGCAAGAGAATTTTGGCTGTTCTTAAGCAGACACTGAAGTTAGTAGTCATATTGCACTACATCTAGCAGACATGAAACTTTATAAGACTACTCTTGTAGTGCTGGATTTCTGACATCCGTTTCTGAGAACATTTAATGTTTTTCTCTTGGTTGTTTATAAATGATGCGTTGGTATTAGGGAACAGGGAAAGGAAGCTGCAACTATCTGTGAGCTTTGATATAAATTTGGTAACCATCTATTCTTTCAAAGCATTTTGGTATCTTGCACGCAGAGATCTATTTAGCTTATAGGGGTAGGATAGTAATTTTGAGAGAAGATTCAATTCAGTCAAAAGGAAATTTTATTTTACTGTAAATACGGAGTTTTCAAAGGAAATCTCAAATCCACAGAAGCATCTGAAAGGGAACTTGTGCAAAACTTGACAGATTATTACATTTGCTTCTAACATAGTTTATTTTATCAGTAAATATTTTACTAATAAATAGTTCTGAGGTTTATAGTGCAGAAAAAAGTTGACTTTTCCCCTCTCATTTTTCCTCATTGTAAATCTGTGGTAATTGTCTAAGAATGAAATGTGTTCTGGCTGCCTGTGTGACGTATTTATTAATTATTAGTGCAGAAGAGAAAGAAAACTGTACAATATAGTGTGTGTGTGTATGTATGAGATGTAATAACTCTGGTATTGCCACAGTAACTGAATTTTATGAAGCTGTTTTATACTTTGCTGATGGTATGTTTCATTATTCTTATCATCACCAGTGTTATATTTGTGAATAATATGTAGGCAGAGTTTGGCTTTTAAGTATTTGAAGATCCTGTTGTATATTTGACTTACACAAAGTCACTCTCACTTTATACAATTTTTACAGCTAACTTTTCTGAGCAAGTAGTTGAAAGCTTTCCATCTGATATCCCTACTGGTATATACTATGGATGGGCCTGTGTTGGAAATGGAGATGTGCATAAAATGGTTTTGAGCATAGGATGGAATCCCTTCTATAAGAATATTAAGAAATCAGTGGTAAGAATCTTGCTTTTTGTGGGATTTTTATTGTAATAAAAGATGAATTTTAACAAGATACTCAGAATTTGATGAGTGGTATCTAGAAATTTGTGCACCATTACAAATGCATTTGTTATCTATGTAATATTTCTATTCTGAAAATAATATACTCTTTGTAACCAAATAGTATGCAGAGAAAGTTGAATAAAGTTTTTCTTTCTTCTATTCCACCATTTCTTAACCACTTCCAAAATTAAATATAATTTTACTTGAAATGATGGTTGCTTGACTTGCTGGTAGCAGATTAAGCATGAACTTGGTAAATGCATTGAATCTACTAGTTATGAGACCCTAGCAGAAGCTGGAACATATTAATAATCTATTGTTCTCTGTAATGTATCTGAATTTCAGATAGGAGATGTTGGTGCAGCTTAATTTGTAATGTATTTTTAATTAATTGTTCTCTTAAATGGGGAAATGGATACATAAGATGCTGTGTCTTAATGTACTAAATAAATATTTGAAGGCATATAAGGATGTAAGGATGGAGAAGTCAAAATCCTGAGCTGTGATAGCTGTGACGTTTTTTTGGTGTCAGGTGTTGGTACTTTTCCTGAGTCTTGCAAAGCTCTCTTCTATTTGTTTAAAACGATTTTATTTGTACATGAATCTCTACTTCTAAGTGGTTGTCTTAGGAAGCTCTATACTTTAAATTTTTTTTGCAGATAACTTTTCTGAGCAAGCAGTTAAAAGCTTCCCAAGTGTTAGCTCTGTTGGTATGGGTTGGCCTATTTTGGAGATCAAGATGTGCATTAAAAAGTTTTGAGTGTCAGGTCCATGTCTAAGTCTGGACTTGCTCTTCAATTTTATCATTCATTTCCCTTAGGAGATGGTTGTAAAAGCTCTCCCTTAGGCAACTAGTTCTGTCAACATCTTCAGAGTTATTTTAATGCATTCACTTGTTGATGAAACATTAACACTCCCTGCCATGGAAATCTTAACTCTGAGAAGTTTTGAAGCACTTCTTCTAATGTCTGGGGGTGTGGGTTTTGTTTTTTTTTTAATTGGTTTGTTGGGTCTTTTTGTTTGGTTTGAGCGCTTTTTGTTGTTTTGGTTTTGTTGGTTTTTTTTTTCCCCATTCCTGTTCTCTTTGTTTTTACTCTTTAAGGAAGTAATTTTTTTTAAATTCCATGCAGAATGCAATTCTACTTCCTAATACAAACTAAAGCCCTGGCCTTTTAGTTTTGGATGATACATGCTATACTAAATGTCCCTTTTATTTTTTATCTCTTGAGAATTTGAATGTTGGATATTAGGCCTACATGTTTACAGAGCAGGAAAGAAACTCTTAAGTTCAGAGTAATTGTCCACTTACTTCTCTTCCTTTAGGAAACACACATCATCCACACCTTCAAAGAAGACTTTTATGGAGAAATTCTTAGTATAGTCATAACTGGATACATTCGACCGGAAAAAAACTTTGATTCCTTGGGTCAGTATTGGAAGTCTCCCTCAAACTAGTTTATTTTTTGCCTTACTCATGCAAGTTCTGTGTCTTCACTGTACCTCCTTGCATCCTGAGATGTTTTATTGGTTAACCTTTAAAATGTCAGTAAAATGTTTTCGTAATTTAAAACCAAAAAACGTACCCCCACATCTTCTTATGTATCACACTAAAGACCTGCACTTTTCTTTTGCTTGTCTGAGGAGTAACATTAAAAGTCAAGTGTACTGATTTCTTCTTAAAATGCAGTTTTGTTAGTTTTGAAACAGAGCTGCTAATGTGTCTTTTGGCAAACAAAGATAATAGTGCTGATAACAGATAAAAATGCAACTCTAGCATGTTAAAAAAAACATGTTTAAAGCAGAGAATTCTGCCTTTCAAACCTCATAGTTATATTGTACTTCTGTGATTGTTGTTTGACATTTTGTGGTGCCTTATTTACACTTATTATTGTGCTCAGAATACAAACCAACTTTTAAATATCCCTATTCTTACCTTTTTCAGATGCACTCATTTTGGCAATTCAGGAGGACATTGAAGAAGCAAAAAGACAGCTAGATCTACCAGAACATCTTAAACTCAAAGAAGATAACTTTTTTCATCTGCCAGAAGGCAAAATAGTAAACAATCACTGAGAAAAACCACACAGCCTCTTTTTTTTTTTTTTATTTTCTTTTTTTCTTTTTTCTTATTTTCTCCCATATCATGGAGCTTTTGTATTTGCACTGCTGTCATAGATACTTTTGTGTCATGTCTGTTACGTGACTGAGATCAGAACAACCGTACAAGATGACTTCTGTTTTGCTTAAGTCATCATTACCCCAGTCATACAAAAGAACAAGAAGGCTGTACTAAGTGATTATAGACAAGCAATGTACAATGTATCCTAATGTTACCAGGTCTTTGATGATCTGAGCACATTCAGAACATGACCAATCTTAATTGTAACCATGAGGTGTGGTTAGCTCATTTAATGGAGAGTGTCTGTTCTTAACATAATGTTCTTGTCCATTTTCTATGTAATTCTTAGATCTGAGTTTTAGCTTGGAAAATGTTAGTGTCGGTTGACTCAGAAAATTCCTGTGGCTAGATATGATTAGATAACAATAGCAAGATTAATTCCCTGTAGTTCTTGGTTTTTTATATGCTGCACAGCTGTTATGGTTGAAGCTGTTACTTTAATTGAAATTATTTATTTTAAGTTTATTTGAAATGGAAGTAATCGCTATTGCTCATTGTGTTGCTAGAATCGGAACTATATTTCTTCACACTTGACAGAACATATGATAACTCATGACTTTTGTAGTTTAATTCTGAAGAGGTGTTTCACTTAATTTCAAAAAATGAGTAGAAGTGTGAAAGCTGATAAACTTTAAGGTTCAGGCGTAAAAGATGAAGAAACAATATAACAAGACTTCTGCTCATTGCACCTTAAAGGAAAAGAGGTAGTGAAACACAAATTTGCATTTTATGTGCTGCTGGTAGTTTTCATAGGGAAATCTTGAGGTTATTCACTGCACTGGCAATAAAATGTCTGACTTCAAGGTTTGCATTATTGTAAGGCACAGAAAAATCTCATCAACACTCTGCACTAAGTGTAGGTAAGAGCCAAGGTTTTTGGAGACCAAGTAGATAAATACACAAATGAAAACCTTTGGGGATTTATTACATAATGTATCAACACTAGAAGGAATATTGGTTATTTTTTATAAGTAGTTGCAGTCTTACTCTGAAATGTGGGGATACAAGTGAGGGTTGGACTAGATGATCTCTGAATGTCCCTTATTACCCTAACTATTCTATGATAGCTAAGTGGAAGGAGGTTGGTGACAGTTGATGTAATTTGAAAAATAATTTGAAATAAGTATATAATGTGTGATTCAATACCTAGTCTTCTTTTCCTCTGATACATTTTTCTATCCCTTGGTGAATGGAAGCAGGTTAGCTACAGTGACTGTCATGATCATAACTTTTTGACATCACTCTGTGATATGTCTTGGACATATTCTGATATTCAAAATACTTATTTAAATATGTCTCAGCTGTGATTCTCTGTCTGAACTATGATGTTCAATATGGAGCGCACAATTTCTGTAGTGAAATTTGATGAATTTACTCCTTGTCCTATTCTAATTCTACCTTTTACTCTAGAATTTGAGTTTTTGCAAAACAGCTGTTTCAATCTTTGTGGCAAGTGCTGTCAAGATGATAGTTTCACTTCATATTGCTTTAAATGTTAGCCAATAACATGGGCTGTTATTAGGGAAGACAGCTCATGTTTGCTCTTTAGGACTTAAGGAGAAAACTTGATTTTGCTTAAATGAATTCTTCGCCTGTGGTGTTGATAGCAGAGTCAGATACAATACAATTGGGAGAGATGGACATGGGACAATCTACTTTCTTTTAAAGGAGAAAAGAAATTTACTGGGCTTTTTACTACATAATGTGTTTTTAAAAAGTCTGTAAAATAATTGTCTTGCAAGATTGATGATTGAAATTTTAAAAAGCAGAGATAAAGGGATAAATTTTTTTGCTAAGAGTTTATGCTTTCTTCAGATTGTAGTAACGTTAAAATCATATATTTTACTATTCCTTTTAGAGAATAAACAGAAGCCACACTAGTCAACAGAGTGTGTTGTCAATGTTAGATTGTTGTTCATCGTGGTACTGTAGCTAAACACTTGTAGCTGCCTTTAAAATTGATTTTTGCCAGTAATGTCTTGGGTCTGTTGTGTAAACTATGGTGCCTTAGGCTGGTTCTGAATAATACTTTTCTGTATCTGCTAATAAATGCCACTATCAAAAATTCAACTCACCATTTGATTGTAGAACTACTGCGCTATGGATAAAGAACAGTAGCAAAGGTAAAACTTGAAAGACTTAACTTGCTCTCATATCCTAGCTGAAGTATGGTATATGGATACACTGAACTAAGAAACTGCTCTTTAAGTGTTTGTCTTCAAAGAGAGTGTGTTAGTACATCCATTTGGCTGAGTGTACCTGACCATAATATTTAAGAGAAAATGTTATGCATTGCTCTTTAAGCTCAATATATAATTCCTAACACAATATAAACTTTATTTTTGTATTATGTACAAGTAGCTGTATTTTGGTTGATGTTGCACTGTACCCTTACTAAAGGAGCTGTAATTGACAAATTTATTCTTCTTGTCTTGGATTTCCTTTCCTTTGCCACTCCTAGCAAAGGAGTTGTTTCAGTTGTTTCAGTTTTAGGCAAAGCTTTATGGGGATGACTGCCTTATTTTGAATTTCTAAATCTTCACATGATTTTATATTCCTCTTTGTTCTGAAGGTGCAGTGATTAAATCCACAGAACAATGTCAAAGTTACAGAGTGATCATGAAGTCTTTAGGAGTATCTAATACAAAAAAAAATCCACTCAAGCATTACAGCTTAAAAATTAGTCCTTCTCAAAATCAATTCATTTGTAAAGATAACTCTTAAGTGATTAACAGCTCTATAGCTATTTATTATCAAAAATATGAAGGAACTATTTTAAGGCTCAGTCTATTCTCTTAGCCATCTAACCATATTGACAACAAATAACAGCACTTCTATGCACTTTTGTGTGAAGGCTTTGTTCTTTATAGCAAGGGGCTATGAAGAGCATCCTCTTCTGTAGTATAATGTATCCAGTAATGCTAAAAAAGTTGCTTTGTTGTGTCCCTTTGAAGTAGATCACCCACTATGTGCTATTTATTCCCTTTGGCATAGTTTGAAAGTGCTGAACCACTTTAAAAGATAAGTGAAAAATTTCTGTTGTAAATATTCTCTGCTTTTTTCAGTTCTCTGTAGCCCAGGAAGATCATAAAGAAGACAGAAGTAGTTCTTTTTACCCGTGTACTTTTGGACTATGTTTCACAATAAATTCAAACTCTCTGTTTGTGATGGAACACTATTTAAACCACTGGAATTAGATTAATTAGCTGTTGCTGATGTATAGAATATTTCTGATAAATTTTAAACAAATGAAGAATACTGTGGAGGTACTTGGTGGAAGAAGTAATGTCATAAGGTTGGAGTACCATTTTTAATGTTCCAGAGATACTGTCTCACCCTTCCAGTACTGGAGTTGTACTCTTTAGAGCTGTGAAGGTATAAGGCTAAAAAACAGGGGGTTGGGAGGGCAGCTATACAGTTTTTTATTAGTTAAGAGTAGTCAGAAGCAGAGAAGATAACAGGGACACAAATACAACTCACTTCTACCCTTAGGCTAGAAACACAAAACACTCAGAAACATTTTTAACTGTATTATCTAGAAAAAATTGAAGACTGGTTTTCCCAGTTGTATCCATTTGGATTAATCACATTTTTTTTTACTCCACTAATCTATATGCAAGATGCTGTAGCTGTTTCAAAGCCAATGAGGTAATTTTGGCATGATGATTACAGATTGCTATCCATTGAAATCGGTACTTTCTAGTCAACTGTTTTATGGAAAGCATGGATGTTTTTAAAAATGCAGGACGAAAAGTGACATTACAAATCAGCTTCAAGCAAGCCCAGCCTGTTCTGGTGATGGTGCAGAGGCCTTATGTTGTGTGCCTTCAGCTCAGTGTCACTTCAGCTTTTTTCAGCGTAGTCAGTCATAAAGCTCTTAAACACCAGTACTGCTCTTCAGCAAGGTCATAGCTTGGGATTTTTGCTACAGTCAAAGCAACCTGGGCTGTCTGCCAGTTTGAAGTCACCACAGCAGGGTGGGCAGCAGCCTTCTTCACTGTACAGTGGCATGTTAGCTGGAAACAAGAAATATCAAAAGACAGCCTATCCTTACAGGAAATTCTCCATTGTTCACATTGTGTTCAATAGTTCAAAGTTCCGTGTACAAATCACAGGAGAAAATGCCTCCAAATGTCTCTTGGACTTTGTATTCATCGGCAAAACAGACTGAGTTATTCATTTCACCCAATAAACTTTATCTGTATGCACAAGGTACACACCCAAATGCTCTCTTTCCTAGAAAAAAAAGTTAAGACAATATCACAATGCAAAAAAGGTCATCTTATTTCCCTTCAAATACACACTGATCACTTTTCTTTTGTCTTCACAAAGAATCACGCGAGAGCTCTAGCAGGAGAAGGTCAGTATTAAAAAAAAATTGAATGCTGAGCCTCATCTTGAAACTTTGTTGGTGTTTTGAAATTTGTGAAACAGCTCTTCATGAACTGCAAGGACTGTGATGGACTTTTGCCTTTTTTTTTTTTTTTTCTCCCTATTATCACCATTCTGTTATTTCCCTGAAGAGGGGTTCCAGAGAATTTGCAGAGTCCTGGCAGGGTTCTTCAAATAATGCACATTACAGGAGAAAGATGCAGACTGTCAGGGCAAGTGTGGGACATGAAACCCAGGCTGAAGTGCTGACACCAGAAAAAGGTCAGCCTGTGCTGCATAATTCTGGAAGGAAGAGTGAGCAATGGCAAAGGAGTTCAGGAGGGATATAACTCTCTTGGTCTATAAGCTATTCTAAACATTTATTACTTCTTTTTATGAGCTCCATTGACTTTTGAACTTTGTTTAAGGAAATAAATTGACGCAGCCATTTAGTGTGAAAGACTGTTGGTAGCATTAACCAATTAGGGCCATTCACAGGGTCATTCTCACCCCTAAGCTGACTGCCCAGGTTTCCTATTTGCTCTGTCAGCTCCAGTTTCTCCTGGCAGCCACAGCTAATTGTGGTGCAGAGAGGAGCTTTAAAGGCAAGCAAACCAGGTGTCTGCCTTTCATGGTGATGTCAGGGGCAAAAGAAGAGTGGATTGGGACACTCAAAACTTGAAGTCAGTTTCAGTGAGGAACAAGAGCATCCAGGAGCTGGACTGCACCTCTCTGGAGTCACCCTGCAGTGGAGTCACGTCAATGCAGAAGTAGTGGAGCAAGATGAGCTAGAAGATGCTAGCTTAAGCAGGAGGGTGTAGTGGGCAGGAAGGAAAATCAGTAATTCAAGTCCCTGAGATTGAAAACAGTCATCTGAGTCACTGGGTCCAGGTGTAGCTTATTTACCTGGCTGTTTATGAAGATGTCTGATTGAAGATCTGCTGGCAAATTTTTCTGAGAGGTAGAAATCAGGATTGTTAGAAAGGGCTGCAGTTAGGGCAGGTATCTGGCACATGGGAGCTCAGCACCTCATCCTCATCCTTACTCTGTTAAGTGCTTTGTTTTTCCTATTTCTCCTTTCTGAAGGGTTGAAATACTTTTCAGCTGAGCACACCAGCCAGTCAGGTAGTGGGGAGGAAAAATAATGGCTACAGAAGCACAGTAACTTGACCAATGTTAAGGTCTCCCTTTTCGGAGATTATAGTGCAAATACAAGAGTATTTAATCTTTATAGTCAGAATGTTAGCAAAATTATCACAGACTACCCTAGGGGAAAAAAAAAAAAAAGCCAGTACTATTCAGTGTGGTCTGTCTCAATAATTCATTCTGCCATCTGAACTTAAGCCAAGTGCAGGTGGAGAGGTGTGCCTCATCTCCAGCTGCCGGGGGCTGCAGAGACCACCCCAGTGTTCCATGATTTCTCGAAGAAAGCTTCAACTAGCCTCTTTGCTGTATCTATGTATTAATTAAATATTTTGGTATGGATTAGTGGTACCACTGCCTACTCCGCTAGCAGAGTGAAGAACAAGCAACACAAAGACTTTTTGAAATGCCTTTTCCATTTTCCTTTAAGTTTCATCCTTGGGGAGAATGATAATTTTTGTTCTGCTTTCCTTAGCTGTTTTTAGTAGAAGGATGTGGATGTCTTGCAAGGTTTCCTGCACTGGCAACATCCTAAGAGTTTAGATAACTTCTTTCTCTCACTGACATACTATCTATATTTGCTTTTTTTTTGTTTTTCTTTTTTTTTTCTTTCTTGCTGAAGATCTTTTTTCTACAGAGCAGATTAAAATGTACAGCAGCCCCATCTGTCTCAATGTCCCTGGAGATAGAATGTAGTCCAAGTCTCTCTTAAGCCTGTACATGCACCTAGCTGTGCTAGCACACAAACATTTTTAGCTTGCTTATACACATAATAGTCAAAGCAACTTGCTGATGACATCTCATCACTCATGTGAGATGCAGAAATTCACTCTCTCCAGACTTTGTAAGACTATTTTCTAGCTTCATATTTTTTCATTACTATTATTGAACAAATCCTTACAGAGTATCCTACATGGTGTCATCTCTAAGAATATAAGGAATACTCTAAGAAAGCTAGATGTTTCATCTTAATTTTGTTGAGTTGAGCAGTACTCATATTTTCCATTCTTCTAGCCCTACTGCTGTGTAAATCCTAAACTTTTTTTCCCCTTTTAGACTCTGGTCATTTGGCATGCTCTGAAAAAGTGTTGAGTAGTTGATGGTATATTGGACAGCCATATACTTTTAAGGAATGTGTTTCACTTTACTCTAAAACCTTAGCTGAAGTAAAGACCCTTCTCTTTCTGGTGTCTACCTGCAGTTGGATGTCCTCCATTCTGTTGTCAGAGATTCCTAAAATCTATGTAATAGATAGTAATTCTCATTTTATTTCTTTGCATTCATCTAATTTACCCTGGTTTATGTTTAGTTTAATTTCTGTGTAATTTAAAAAATTTAATCCTGGTTATGAGTGTGAAGAATTAAATCAAAAGCATAACTGAATTACAGTTAAAATTGACCTTGGTCCAGACAAGGTAATGGTTGTAATATAAAAAAATAATTAAATAGTAACGAAATAGATTTCTTATCTTGTTATATTGAGAAGAGATTAACTACTGCTGAAGAATACAATTTCAAAAACATCTGAAGTCTTGCAAGTAAAAGTGAAGATCTTTTAAGATGAAGTACAGACCTCCTGCCCCCTGCCTTTAATATTTGCTCCTTTAGTAGATTTTATTGTTTTCTGTAATAGTTGCCAGTCACCTGCAGATGGAATGCACACAAACAGATGGTCTTAATATGTTTTGCAAGTGACAGCCTTTAATGTCACAATCAGATGTAAATTTTTAAATGCTTCAATTTGTACACCTCTCTTGCCAACAAAAGGAGAGGGATTGCATTTTCTTTTATTTAAAAACATTTTTTTAATGCCTAAAACTTCATAGAACAAGTAGTTGTGATACAGAAGATTTTCCTACTGAAACCTGTGCAGGGTATTACTTCTAGTAATATAACTAGATGTTCCC